TCTTTGTACTGTATTATCAGGGGAAAATAGTGTCAACTTTTCTCATGATTAGTGATGACAAATTTGATCTTTTGGGTAATAGAGTAAAAGGGCTATAGCTGGGTACACCTGTAAAGGTAAATTTTTTCATTTTGCAATCAATATGTAATCTTTTTGACATTGAAACTCTTATTCAACAACCTTTCACCTGATGTTTTAGCATTTGTTCATAATCCTTGTTATAAACTATCTGTTACATTTTTAATTCTGTTATGTAATTTTTAAATTCTGTTATTCTTTATACATTCTGCAGCATCACCCTTCTGTAAAGAGGACATCTATTTACTTTTTACCCTTCTCTTACTTTTGTATCCCTGTGGATTCAAGGACATTTAGACACAGTATATTATTATTACTGTTTTCACTGTTGGTGCTGTGTCCCAAATTTGGCTTAGGGGACCCTCTTGAAGCTGGCCCATGGGACTCTGACTTCACCCCCTAGTCGTAGAACATTGCCTTCTTCCTAGAACAAATTCTTAATGTTCTCCATGTGCTTTCCTTGCATCCCTTTTAAATCCTTACCTGATTTAAAAATTACATAACAGAATTAAAAATTTAACAGATAGTTTATAACAAGGATTATGAACAAATGCTAAGGTGCCTTTCTATTCTACACATTCCTTGTTAAATTTATTAGCCTTAGCTTCTGTTCTAAAGACTCTTGAGACACACAGTTCTGAATTTAACCACCTATGTAACATAATTATTCTTCAAAATATCTTATTCATGGTATTTAAAATCGTAGCAGAATCTGTCAAGAGGAATACAGGACATTGATTGTAGTATTCTAAAATTGAATTTTGTATTAAACTAAACAGAGCTGCGCAAATACAGTATTATCTCCTGGACCTTCTAGCACAGCCTACATTAAAGATTGTGGGGATGCTGTAGCACATCATGATTACAGGCTCGAGTACTGGAATGCAGGTACCTGAAATTTGTTCTAGCTGTAGAACTTACCAGCCATAGCAGGTTTCTTTTCTTTTGTGCCTCATTTTCTTATCCTAGGGGAAATGGTAAGATTACCATACTAGTAGGTCATTTTGAAACAATGATTTAAAAGTGCTACAAGAATGCCTATGACAAAATCAGCACTCAAGAAATTTTAGCTATCATCAAGAACTCTTCGTAAACTCATCCTGTTTATTGTATTGATGAAAGTCCTTTCTATTCAAATCTGGTATCCAGAAATAGTGATGATGTTTCTGAGCATATCTTACTTTGTTTTAATGATAATAAAGAGTTAGGCTTGGTGAAAAGTACCTATAGGCCGACTACACCAGAGGCAGAAGCTGAAGGATTATTTGAGCCCGGGAGTTTGAGACCATCCTGGGCAATGTAGTAAGACACTGTATCACCTAGGTAGATATAGGTAGGTAGGAAAATACACAAGTAAACACACAGAGATAAACTCACAAATGTCATAATCTACTTTTTCTCGGTTATAAGAAGATAAACTTTCCTTCTTATTTCTAATATGTATGCTGGCCTTCGCAGCATGAGTGCTTTGGTTCTCTCTACTTCCTGTTTGCAGGCAAGATTAAGAATGGGCCTTCCACACTCAGCTTGCTTGAGTGTGATTCGTAGCACACAATTGATACCATCGGGAACATGTTGTGGGTCTTCTGTGCCTTAGGAAAATTGGAGATCACTAAGATATCTTCCTTCCTAGTGTTTGTTTTATTTTTAATTAGGTATTAAGATTTAATGAGTAAAGCCCCAGGGAGTATTTAAAGCCTAGGTATTTGCTCTGATTATTAGTTTGTCAAGGTATTGTATCAGTTAGTGCTGTATGTAGCTAAAGAACAAAAATGGATCTTGCTAACTTACATACCAAAACATCTTACAGCAGAGTTGTAGAGGAGCCCACCAAGTGGGAGGAACTGGTGAAGAAAGCCCAGATCAGTGCCAAGGATGAGATGACAAAAACTGTTAGTCCTATAGGTATTGTTTGTCTGCCTTGTGATGGCCATTCACACTCTAGTGGCCTATAGGAGAAAGGCCTGACTCACCTGGTAGGGACACAGAGGCCAGTCCTTGCTAGAGGCCAGTGGTCATTTCGAGGGGTCACTTCACAGTGAAGGTGCTGTCACTCTCCAAATGGCAACCAGAGTTTGTTATTAAAACAAAACCAGAGTGTCAGAGGGTTTAGCTCAGTGTGTAAGTGCCTACCTGGTAAGCATGAGGTTGTGAGTTCAATCTCTAGTACCAAAAAATTAAAATTAAAATTAAAAAACTGGAGACTTGGTGGCCCCAACCAATAAATAATCTACAAGAGTATTACAGTGTGTATTTTATTAACTATTTTAACTGTATTTCAATGAAAATAAAGACATAAATAAGGTAAGCATTTAATTATGAAAAAGAGTACTGATACAAAACTCAAGAGATCTGGGCCCAGCCCCTTTCTCCCTGAATTCGCCACAGCCTTTTGGATGCTGGTTTCTTTATTCAAAGGTGACCATGCAATCACTAAATGACCCCTAAAAATTGTACTAACAGCAGAATCCTCAGGTTCTCTTATTGTCTTTTGTGTGTAGGAACCTGCGTTGCTTTCAGACACAGGTACACACACTCAATTTGATCCAGCCTTAAGCTCAACTGGTATATGGAAATTTATAGGTAAAGTTTAATGTGGACTTAGAATCCTCATTTAATAATTGTTCTAGTTTCATTGAGGCAAAACAAATGAGATAGGCATTTGAAGAAAACCAAAACTCCTTCAGCACTCAGATTTACAAGTAGTGATGTGTAACCATTGTTTTTGAGTACAAAATAAATTTGATTTAAATGGATTAATTATATGTGATTTTTCATTTCTATAGTTATTTTTCTTTTTTATGACTAAAGGACTATTGAGTATTTTTAATACTAGAAAGGATATTCTAAGCTGTTTTATATTCTTTAGTAAGTTTATGTGTAAATACTATAATCATTATTGGTTTCTAGCTAGGCTAGATGAATAAAACCTCTTTAGATGTATTTATGATAAATAAAGGATTTGTTTGAGTATTTCTGAAAATACAGACATTGTATTATGTTTTATTGTGGTTTTTAAAAACAATATTCACTTAAAAGTATTACTCTGAATTAGATTATCAACTAAAATCAGTTGTCAAATCTTTCTTTATTATAAAAGTGTAATTTATGTTTCATTGTTTTTAAAACACTATTTGTTTTTCTTTAAAAAATTGGCCTTAGATTAGCAATTAAAAGCATAATCAGATCTTCCTTTAGTGTTGTGATTATGTGTATATAATTTATAGAGTGACACTATTTTGAATAAACTGTTAACTTGCAGTCACTTCAAAATGTAGGAGGCGAGGTATGTCTCATGACAACTTTCTGAGCCACAATGCCAGGATTGATTATCCTGCTTAGAAAGACACAACATACTGTCTGCAGCTCTGACCAGTGAGCAGAAAAAGTATATTCAAGGTTTTAAACTTAAATACAGGCAAAATTTCTATGAAAACTTTGAAAATCTAGAAAACTTAAGGAATTCTGAAAGGCAAAATTATTTGTATTATTCTTTGAGATTTTAGAACAAGATGGTTCTTACTCATCTGACTATTCCCCTATAGCTAACATAGGGACAATTAATACTAAATCTCTACTGTAAATTCAGACTTGCTGAATTTTCACTAAAGAGACCTGTTTTCAAAAAAATCTATTTTTTGTTATAAAAATGACTTAAAGGTGCAAATATGTTAATGCAGTTGGCCTGAATCTATAGATTATAAAATTCAAAATCAAATTGAAATTACAAGACTCCTACTCAAAATATTGTAGAATTAAATTTTACATAACAGTCTTGTATCACCTGTAGAATTTACCATTTTGTTACTTCAATTATTCACAAAATAAATTATCACATTAATATAATTAAGGAAAGGAACATGGACCTAAGACAAGATGAAACAATCTTTCACTAAACTTTAACCAAAAGACTTTCCTCTCTGTTCTTTGTTTCTTCAACTGTAGAATAGAGGTAATGTTTTTACTCCAATGGTATTATAATGACTAGAAGATAGTCATTTAATAATAATAAATGATTAGTTGCTATATTCATTCTTAAAAGGTGACTTTTTCCAATTTTACTCTGTTTGCAAATCAAATTGTATTTTGTCATCTTTCTCTTCAGTGTTAAATTTAATTAACTGTATAACATCTATATAAGACCATGCTTTAAAAAATTCCTTTTAAGATATAAATTTCTATTCCAAAGAAGAAACAAAGTTTATGGATTTTTTGTGGTGGCAATAACTTGAATCAATTACATTTTTATTATGTATGTACATATATTACATGTAATACATTTTAATTTATAAAGTTTTCTTAAAAAAATAAAAAGTATCACCAAAAATACTGCTGTCTCAGAGATACGGCATTTTGTACTCAGTGAGACCATAATCGATTTTATATGTAAAAAAGTTTCTACATAATCATAATGATTATAGATTTAAGAAAATTAGAAATAAAATGCTCGTTCCGCACTTATATTTTTATGACAGTTGAAATTAATGTTAGCTAGATAAACTTTTATTTTGCAGACATCTCATTGTTTCAGGAGCTGCAAGGGGTGTTAGTGTTCTTGCGATTTATTTCCTCTTAGCCAGATACTTCTGAGTCATGCCCCTGGTTGCTGTAGTGATATCTTTTTGTATATAGCCACGTATTGCTCCCTCTCTTAGCTACATTTAAGTTGTGGCTTTAGGTGTCTCACTCAAGCCATTTCTTTATCCATTTTTGGCACTTCTAACCATTAGATCAGTGTGCACCATTGGTAACACTGAGCAAATTGTGAGAGATATTTTGATTTGAGTTGACATAAAAATAAGGGGAGATTGCTGCTGTTCATCTCCAGACCCTGGCATTTTAACTTTAGAGTGCCTGCTGTAACCATGCATCCTTCTGTGGTCAACGTGACTGACTGCTTTCTTTTCTTCTGTCCTTTTAAGCAAAGTAGAGCAGCGGTTCAGCTGAGAGAAGATATGAAAAAGATAGTGGGAGTGCCACTGAGTGAGCAGCAAGATCCTGCCTATAAGAAGTTATTTGGAGTCAGCCTGCAAGAGCTTCAACAGCAGGGGCTCACTAAGGATGGGGTACCCACCATGGTGAGGAGCATCGTGGAGTACTTGGTGCAGCGTGGTGAGTCTCAGCTCCTGGTTCTCTGAGAACTACTTCATGATGTATGATTAGGATAGTCTACAGCATTCTAATGAGGATAGCAGATTGTCGTGTAACATACTTTTCCCTTGATAAAGGACATACTGGGCTGGGAATGTAGCTCAGTGATAGAGCACTTGCCTAGCAGGTGCAAGACCCTAGCATGCATGCATAGCTGGATGGGTAGATGGATGCATTACTGCTTAATACCAGACTGACTACTGATTCAGCTTATCATAGAACAGTCACTTTAATTATTGAAGTTTTTAGTTTTGATGCTTTCTAGTTTTAAGTGTTAAAAGCCTCTTAAAATCCATAGTTCTGCTGCTACTAATGGGTTCTCATAATCAACTAAATTCCAACTGATAGTCATTAGTTTTTTTATTTAAAGAGAAAAACAAAACAAACAGAAAAAGGGTATAAGTAATACAGAATTTCAAAAAAATAAACAGAAATCACTAGTTAATAGATTATATATTGTCATCTTAGAAATAGTTGTTCAAGTTACAAAATTAAAGAATACAAAGTAGACATTCAAACAGTGAGACTGCAAACAGTTCTGTTCAATGATCCAACAAAAACTTAGTAATATGGTTATCTATCTTACACACTTATATATACATGCAGTTATATCCTTTAGAGCACTTTCTTTCCCTTTCTTTTTTACAATAACAATTACACATTTTGGGTTTTATAATTCCCACAGTTCTTACTACTTTTTTTTTGAAGACAATAAAACCAAATGTGACAAAACAAAACAGAGTCAGTCAAAACAAAAGGATGGACATAGTACATGATGTAAGAACAGAATACAAGGTGATCAACAATGGTTACCTTAATGCCTCTTGATATCTTAAAAAGAATTGCCTATATTATCAGGTATGATAAAACTGAACAAAACCATACAGAATAAAACCAATAAAACCGAAACATTGGAGACATTACAGGACTTCAAAAGAAGATAATAGTCAAATCAGAATGGGCATCATAGTGAATCTTAACTGTCTTCAAAGTAGTTGCCTATACCTTCAAACTTGATACTATCAAACAAAACAGAAAGCATAAATTAGTCAAAACAAGATGATGAGACCAATGCAGGGCTTCAAATCAAGTTAATAGGAAATCAAAATGGTTACTATAACATATCCTGCTATTTTTTATTTTTTCCCTTAATTAAAAAAATATAAATAAATAAATAAATAAAGAGATTGAGATAAAAGAGGACATAACAACACAACAGTACAGGTCAGAACAGAACAATTTAAGCAACATAGTGTTTCACCACAAGATAACCTGACATAACAGTAGTTATGATAGTGTCTCTTTCCTTGAAATATTTGAATATAACTTCGTATACTGTAGCATCAAACATATCAAGACAGTGTAAAACCATTCAAGAGAATGAAAGTATTATAGGATATTCAGAACCAACTAACAGAAAACAAACAATGGTTTCTATATTATCTCCTTGTCTATAAAAAATATTCTTTGTACTATCACATATAATAAAATCCAATAAGATACAACATGATAAAACCAATGGAGACAGAAGAACAAAAGCTTGATGGGACTTCAAAATAAGATGATATTAAATCAGCACTAGCTATTATAATGTCTTGTTTTCTTCAAAATAGCTGTTCCTACCATCAAAGACAATAAAATTAAACAACCCAGAATAAAACCATTCCAACTAATGAATGAAAACTTTATAAGGCTTCAAAGCAATATAATGGGGAATCATGATTACCACATACTTTTATGTATTCTTATCATTTCTTACACTAGGAAACTATTTAGTATTTATACATGTGAGTTTGATTTATTTCACTTATGAGTATGGTCTCAAGCTGCACCCATTTATTTGTAAATATCTCAATGTGATCATTCTTTATAGCTGAGTAGTACTCTACTGTATAAAAATAGCACAATTTTTTTTTTATCCATTTCTCAGTTGATGGACACTTAGGTTGTTTCCAAGATCTGGCTATTACAAATTGTGCTGCTATAAACATGGGTGCACATATATCACTGCGGTATGATACTTTCAGTTCTTCTGGGAATATGCCTAGAAGTGGAATAGCTGGATCAAATGGGACTTTCAATCCAGCTTTTTGAGAAATCTCCAGACTGACCTACACAATGGTTGTACCAGTCTACACTCCCACCAACAGTGCAGGAGAGTTCCTTTTCCCCCACAGTCTCTCTTTCCATCATTTATTGTTGTGGGTTTTCTTGATCCTGGCCATTCTTTTAGGAGTGAGATGGAATCTCAGCATGGTTTTAATTTGCATTTCTCTAATGAGTAATGATGATGAACATTTTTTCATGTATTTATTTGCCATTAGTATTTCTTCATCTGAGAACTGTGTATTCATCTCAGATGCCCATTTTGGGATTGGGTCTTTGAATTTCGGCAGTCTGATTTTTTTTAATTCTTTGTATGTTTTAGACAAAAGTCCTTTGTCTAAGGACAGTTCACTAAGATTTTTTCCCAGTTTGTGGGTTTTCTTTTCACTATGCGGGAGATTTCTGTTGACATGCAGAAACTTTTTAACAAGACGTGATCCCAGTTATTGATTCTGGGAAGTATTTCCCATGTGGTTTGAGTCCTGTTCATGAATTCTCTACCTACCCCTTTGGCTTCAAGGTTTTTACCCAATTTGTCTTCCAATAGATTTAGTGTTTCCGTTTTAATATTCAGATCTTTGATCCATTTAGATTTTAATTTAGTATATGGTGATAGGCATGGGTCTAGTTTTAGTTTTTGGCATATGGAGAGCCAGTTTTTACAACATCATTTATTAAAGAGACTGTCATTCTTCCAGTGAACCTATTTGTCCCCTTTATCAAAGATAAGGTGGTTGAGTGTTTTTGTAGTTGTAGTTATATCTTCTAATCTATTCCATTGATCTTCAGCTCTGTTTTTATTCCAGTATCATGTTGATTTGTAATATAACTTCAAGTCAGGGCTTGTGATGCCTCCTTCCTTGCCTTTACTGCTTAGAACTGTCTTTGCTATTCTAGGTCTCTTCTTGCTCCAGATAAATTTTAGGAGTGATTTCTCTAGATCTATGAGGTATGTTGATGGTACTTTTATTGGGATTGCATTGAATCTGTATAGCAGTTTGAGGAGAATGTACATTCTCACAATATGTATTCTTCCTGTCCATGAGCAAAGGATGTCTTTCCACTTTCTGAGATCCTCTTTAATTTCTTTTTTCAGGATATTGTAATTTTCCCTGGATAGGTCTTTCACTTCTTTCGCGAGAGTAATTCCTAAATATTTCTTTTTTTTTTGGTTGCTAGTGTGAGGGGTGTGGCTTCTCTTATTTCTCAGTGATTTTGTTGTTAGTGTATAAGAATGCTGTTGATTTTTGAGTATTGATTTTGTATCCAGCTACATTGCTGAATTTATATTATATATAAGTGTCTTTCAATGAAGTTTTGGAGGTCTTCTATGTAGAGTATCATGTCATCTGCAAATAATGATTATTTAAATTCTTCTTTTCCTATCTTTACCCCTTTAATTTCTCTCTTGTCTAATTGCTCTGGCTAGTATTTCCAGTACTATATGAAATAGGAGTGGTGATAAGGGACATCCTTGTCTTGTGCCTTATTTTAAAGTAAAGGCTTTCAATTTTTGGCCATTTAGTATGATATTGACTGTTGGTTTGTCATAGATGGCCTTTATCATATTGAGGTAAAGACCATCTATTCCAATTTTCTGTAAGGTTCTTAGCATAAATGAATGTTGGACCTTATCAAAAGCTTTTTCTGCATCTATAGAAATGATCATGTGATTCTTACTTTTGGTTTTATTGATATGGTGGATTACATTTATTGATTTACGTATGTTAAACCATCCCTGCATGCCTGGGATGAATGCCACTGGGTCATGGTGTGTAATCTTCTTGATGATTTGCTGCATCCTATTTGCCAATATTTTATTGAGGATTTTTACATCTGTGTTCATTAGGGAGGTTGGCCTGTAGTTCTGTTTTAGTTAGGTCTTTCTCACGTTTTGGTACTAGAGTAATATTCGCTTCCAGGAATGATTTTTTTTTTTTTTTTTTTTTTGGTTTTTTTCCTTTTTATCGGTACCGGGGATCAAACTCACGACTGCCTGCTTACAAGGCAGGCACTTATGCCGCTGAGCTAAATCCCCAGCCCCAAGTTTTTTTTTTTTTTTTTTTTAATTGGTACTGGGGATCGAACTCACAACCACTTGCTTGCAAGGCAGGCGCTTATGACGCTGAGCTAAATCCCCAGCCCCAGGAATGACTTAAGAAGGATTGCTTCTCTTTCAATTTCATTGAAGAGTTTGAGGAGTGTTGGCAGTACGTCTTTTTTTGTACTTCTTGTAGAATTTTGCAGTGAATCCGTCTGGGCCTGGGTTCTTCTTTGTAGGTAAGGACTTAATTACATTTTCAATTTTATTAATAGAAATTGGGTTATTCAGCAGATTTACATCTTCTTGACCTAGCTTTGGTACTTCATATGTTTCTAGGAATCTGTCTATTTCTTCTGTGTTATCAAACCTTTGAGAGTAGAGGTTTTTGAAATAGGTGTTACTGATCTTCTGTATTTGTACAGAGTCTGTAGTGATTTCACCTTTTTCATTCCTTATTGCATGAATTTGAGCTTTTTCTTCCCTTTTTAATATAAGGTTGGCTAGGGGCTTATCAATTTTATTTATTCTTTCAAAGAACCAACTGTTTGATTCATTAATTCTTTGGATTGTTTTCATAGTCTCTTGCATTAATTTCTGCTCTGATTTTTATAATTTCTTCCCTTCTTTTGGCTTTGGGCTTTACTTGCTCTTCTTTTTCTAGATGTTTGAGGTGTGACACAAGGTTATTTTTTTTGTATGTATTCTATTTTCATGATAGGGAACTCAGTGCAATAAATTTTCCTCTGAAGACAGCTTTCATTGCATCTCACAGATTCTGGTAAGTTGTACTTGTATTTTCCTTTGCTTGTAG